CCGCCGGCCGGGAGGTGAGAGCGAGATGGCGGCGCCCTGAGGATCTCGGTGAGTCCTTCACCTCGGCGCTGGGCAGGGCGGGGACGTGGGGCCTGCAGCGGCGGGAGGCGACGGTTGGCCCGGGGCGGGAAAGCGGCCTGGATACGGGTAGAGGAGGGTCGGGGCTCCTCTGTGAGGGGAGAGTGGGCCGGGGGAGAGGGGGCGGGTGTGTGGAGGATCGGGGTCTGTGGGACAGGCTCCGGGGGCGATGGAGGGCCCTGGGGGGCGACGACCGGTCTCTTCTCCCTAGTAACAAGTCATAGGATGAGGGGAAACGGCCTCAAGCTGCGCCGGGGGAGGTTTAAGGTGGATATTAGGAGAAATTTCTCCATCGAAAGGGTTATCAGTCGTTGAAACAGGCTGCCCAGGGAAGCGGTGGAATCAGCATTCCCGGAGGTATTTAAAAGATGAGTAGGCAGGGTTTAGTGGTGATTTTGTCAGTGTTAGGTCGATGGTTGGACTGCATGGTCTTCAAGGTCCCTTTCAACCTAGACAGTTCTATGTTGCTATGATGGCCAGGTCCCACGTGGGGAGACAGCTGTGGGGCAGGCCTGGGAGAGAGGGGGTGAGGATTGAGGGCTCTGAGAGGCCCCACATCCCACACCAGCTATAAGGGTACAGGGCCCACAGGTGGCCAGAGTGGCTCAGTGTCTCCTCTCTTGTTTACAGAACACACGGAGCAGGCTGGATGCCCACAGGCAGCAGGACACTATCACAGGCTGCCCGAGGACTCATCAGGGGCACAGGACTATTCTTTAACTGTACACAGGTCTCCTTGCCAAGATCTTGCCTTTGCTGCCTTGGCCTCTCCGGGGCCAGCCCCAGTTACTGGTACCAGCTGCTGTTACGGCGTGTATCTCTCCTGTCCACAGAGAGAAACCAAGGTGGTGGTGCTGGGGCTTTCCATTTCTCCCTGCTTTTGAACACTTGGTTTCGCCGAGCCTGCACGGCTGCAGAGGACATGGCAGAACAGAGGTACTGCGTAGACTATGCCAAGCGTGGCACAGCAGGCTGCAAGAAGTGCAAGGAGAAGATCGTGAAAGGAATGGTGCGCATTGGAAAGATCGTTCCCAATCCTTTCACAGAGTCTGGCGGGGACATGAAGGAGTGGTACCACGTGAAGTGCATGTTTGAGAAGTTAGATAAGGCCCGGGCCACCACCAAGAAAATCGAAGACATCACAGACTTGGAAGGATGGGAAGAGCTACAAGATGGGGAGAAAGAATTAATCAACAAGCATATCTCAGGTGAGAAACAAGGCAGCACCTCAATCACTTTTCTGCTTTAGTACTTTTCAAAATACACCACCAATTGCCACACAGCCAAGCCTTTACCACAAAATCCTCACTGATGTATTAGTATGACCTAGTGACAAAGTGAGTAGCACTGCTCAAATCTGTGTCTCAGCTCTATAGGAAAGGGAAGAAGTAGTCATTTATACAGTAGCGCTTCTTAATTAATTTGTCGCAACTGATTATGGAGAAGGTGTAGGTGATTTAGTTCCCATGCAGACACAGGCAGATAAATCCCAGGAGGAAGCATCAGTTATTTTCCATTTTCACCTTTTTTTCCCATGTACTTTGCTAAATTACATAGTCTTTTAACTTTTGATGTCTGAAAAATAGTCCTTTTTTTTTTTCCCTACATTCTCACTTCTTTTAAGACTCGTTTGTTGCAACATGTATGTTGAGGGATGTATGAGATTATTTCTGACTGCTGGTTTGAACCTTGCTGTTTTACAGAAGCTAATTCCAAGACTGCAAGTACACCGAAGAAAAAAGTGATAGTCCAAGCTAAGCTCACTGCCACAGGGCAACTAACTACAAAAGATCCACTAGCTCTCATCAATCCATCACCAAAGAAGTTCTCTGGATTCACAGGTAGGACTTAAGAAACTGATTCTGGGAAATCCTTCTCTTCTACTACCAGCATCAGAGGTGTTTTAACTTGGCTGGGATCAGAAGTTTTTTTATCTATAGAAGATGGTTTAGTTCTAATTACTTTTGTAAAATCTGGTTTGCCAGGAACTGTTAGTGCTGTCTTAGGCTGTCAGTCTTGAAAGAACTGATGTTTGAGTTTCTAGTATTCCTAAGGAAACAAACTTCATGCAGTAACCCACGCTGTTAGGCTGACTCCACTCCTGCCTTAGTCCATGGGTCAATTTCAATCAAACTGTGAAGATACAGAGTAACATATCCCGTGTGGAGCTCAAAATCTGTAAAAAACTGGCTGTGTGGGATTCCCAGTTGTGATGTTCATGGAAAGGAAACTGTTATTCCTCAGCAGCTTGTCCTGAGAAAGAGCTGCCAGCAGGACAGTCAGTGCATGGGCTCTGACTGACCTGAAACACCCAGAGCACGTGTTGCCTCATGCACAGGCAAAAAGATGAGAATGTGTAGGGATGTTAATATTAATGAGAAAAGAGGAGATGGGGGCATTTTTCCCTCATTTTAGAAGTGGTCTTAGGAAAACATATTGCTGAAAAGGGCAAAGGCCTGTAAAGTAGAAATAAAACAGAAGCATCAGCCAGCAGGAATTCCTTTTCACCAAGATTTAATCATATTTGTCTGGTAGAATTAAAGTCCAGAAAATTCTGATGTATTGGAAAGAGCAAAACTAATGAAAAAATAGTTTAGGTGTTTTTTTTAAATGATAATTAAAATGTAAAGTCACAAATTTTGGCGTAGCACACGTCATTATCCAGTTCTGAAGCTTTGCCAGCATACTGGGATTGTTCTTTTCAGCTTTTCAAGCAGGGGTAGCTTCAACTTCAAAATCTGCTTTTACTTGTTACAAAAGCAATTTCTTCTGTCCTTGATGCAGCCAAGCCAAAGAATTCAGAAGATGTCTCTGCAAACTCTGCCCACAAGTCCAGCCTGTCTGCAAAACAATGTGACCCGAAGCACAAAGACTGCTTGCTGCGAGAGTTCAGGAAGCTCTGTGCCATGGTTGCTGAAAAACCCAGCTATAATGTGAAAACGCAGATCATCCAGGATTTTCTGAAGAAGGGATCTGGAGGAGGTATGATTCCTGATTGACATTCTCAGCATATGAAAGCCCTCTCAAAATCAACCCCAAAATATTGTTTCCAAAGCAAGGGTGACAAAATCTGATTGCTGTGTAGTCCAAGCTCTGTGCTGTGATAATTCCAGAACTATGGAGAGAATGTTTGTGAAGTGAACTGTTCATCTAAACAACAAATTCAGCTAAGAATTTGTCTAGGATTGTGGGGAATGTTTGTAGGTGCCGCCAAACTTAGTGCTGAGGTCAGATTTGGGGGACAATTGTGGGTGTTTTCTCTAAGAAATCTCCTTTCATGTGAAGCAGAACAGTGTGGTGGAAAGAGGAAGCACCAGCTGCGGGGTTTTTTTTTAGCCCGGGGTCAGGTTAGTGGGCACAAACAATCAGAGCCTACACATGAAAATAAATTGTGACAGTTTCTAATGGGCTGTGCTTTTTTTTTTTCCAGATGGTTTTCATGGTGACGTATACCTGACCATTAAGTTGTTGTTACCAGGCGTCATTAAAATTGTTTACAACTTGAACGATAAGCAGATTGTAAAGCTGTTTAGTAGGATTTTTAACTGCAGCCAAGAAGAAATGATCCGGGACCTGGAACAGGTGAGTACAGACAGCAGTTCTCTTAATTTCTGCTGTTCGGTCGCTTGGTATGGAAATCATGTAATGATTTTTGGGTTGGTTTTTTTTAGTCCTATTTGAAAGATTGCTGGCTTGATTGTTAGAATGGGAGATGAGCAGTTTTCATAGCATTTCTCACCATCTGGAACCATTAGAAAATAATGTTTGAACAGAAAGCAAGATATAAATTCACCTGCAAAACTTTAGAAAGCAAGACTAAAATATCTAGGCCAAGTGGGGCTGCATCCACTTTATCTAAACTGCTTTGTCTAACATCCCTAAGTAACTGATTTACTTTTTTTGTAACCTCATGTATCAAAAACTGTGATACAATTAACAGATCTGTTGCTATGAGCTTAAGTTACAATTAAACTACACTCATACAATTGCAAGCACTCACATGTGTGCATTTAACTCCTGTTGGTAATTAACTATGCACACTTCTGATTCATTGCAAGATGGAACAAACAGGTGAATTAGGTAATGAAGCTAATTCTTCTCTGTTTATTGCCTTGTTACGTACTGCCGTCTAGTGACATCATTATCACTAGACAGTTTCAGATCCTTGGATTTACAAGTGGATTCATCTTGAGGAAATAAAGGGTCTGTGATGCTGCAGCAGTGAAAAATAGAGCAATGAGATGATACTGGTACTCTTACCTTTTTTTATAAATGAAACAGCTGAGAAGCTTTATTCTGTGTCATGGCAGCTTTTTTCTAATGTTGATTCCAACTCCTTCGTGCAATTCCAGCATTATTCCTGTGCTTCATCCTATTTATTGAAACCCTGTAGAATCCCCAGTGGCATCTACTGTTCTCTAACCGTAGCTCTGACCCACGCCCATATTTTGTTTTTGGAGACAGGGAGATGTTTCCGAGACCATACGCCTCTTCTTTGAACAGAGCAAGACTTGTCCTCCAGCAGCCAAAAGTCTCCTGACCATCCAAGAGGTAGATGAATTCCTAATCCAGCTATCAAAGCTTACCAAGGAAGATGACCAGCAAGGTGTGCTGCAACATATCACTCGCAGGTAAGGAAAGTAATTGGCCTCTGAAGGTTTACCCTAAAACTAGGAGTGATTATCTACAGATCACAAGCTGGAATAGGTGAAAAACTAATCATAAGCCACAGAGACTGAAATTAACATATGTAAGGTGCTATTCGTGGTTTGATTAAGACACCTTGATTGCTGACCAGCAATGGAGAATGTGTGCAGCTCCTGATCATGCCAGAGAATTTCATCCTTGTCTGTCAAGACACTTCAATCAGTACTAAACAAGTGGGTTGCAGAACTACCTTACTGGTACTTGGCTGTTAATTAAGTTGCTGTTCTTGGGTATGTTGGAAAAGCCTCCAAGCCATTAGACAGGTTGAGGACTTGTTCTGGCTCAGTTCTTGTTGATCTGAGGCTGAGGATGTTACTATCACTTACTCTTGATGCATTAATTAAGTGAATTTTGGAACATACATCAACACTGAGGCAGAATTCATATTGGCATTCAAACATAAAGATGCTAAAAAGCCTTTTGGATATTCTCTTGTGCCCCTGAGATGTCAGTAGTAATGTGTGTTCTCATTTGAGTTTAAACCGTAGAGAAGGGAAGGACCTTTTTTTAGAGGCGTAGATCAGTTTTTTCAGCTGGAAAGTAGTTCAGTTAAATGTCTACCATTTCTGAATCTTCTCTTGTACTTCAGGTGTACAGGCAATGACCTGAAATGCATCATCAGGCTAATTAAGCATGACTTGAAAATGAACGCTGGAGCAAAGCACGTGTAAGTCTTACCTTTCATTGCGAGACAAAACCCGAAGCGAGCATTAGCCTCGTAAGCCAGGAGCAGCAGACCTGAGAGTGATCCCTGTTTCCCTTCTCTCCTCAATTTGTTAAAGGTTGGATGCTTTGGATCCCAACGCTTACGAGGCGTTCAAAGCGTCGCGCAACCTCCAGGATGTGGTGGAGCGAGTCCTGAAGAACCAGCAGGAGGCTGAGAAGATGCCAGGCCAGAAGCGAACCCTCAGCGTGCAGGCCTCCCTGATGACCCCGGTCCAGCCCATGCTGGTAAGGTTGGTTCCCCTCCAAGGGTAACCCTCAGCTGAGCAAGAGATGGGCTTCTCATATGTATTGTCAGAGAGCCTCACCTTTAAGAATCAGTGGAGACAGAGGTGACTGCATGTGCTATGAGCTAATGGAGTGTGCAGCGCTGATTTTTCATGTTTAATGCCATTTTATAAAGTGTTTTCTACCAAGAGGCCAGTATTTGATGTACTCGGTACTTGCACCTTCAGTGCCACTGCAGAAGCTAAAATCTTGACTTTCTTTCACTCCAGAAGTGACTTCTTTGTTTGCTGTCATTCCAGAACTTGATCCTTTCTCTGCAAATAGCATAAGCTTTTCGTTGGATTAGAGGTTCCAATAAGTTTGGGGTTTTGTTTGAACTAATCAGACTTAAATATTTACTTCTGGGCTAAGCACACTCCTACAAAAGGCACAGTACTTGCTCCTTTAAGTATTTGGAGGAGATAAGCACTGAAAAGCTCTAATTATCTGGGCATATGCAGATGGTTGTAAGTAAATGAGTAATTAAGAAAAGGAAAACTTGGACTGGATGTCAGAGACCCTGGACAAAAAAAATATACAAAGGAATTGGTAGTTCATTCATGAACTTAGGTAAAGGTGGTTTTATTTTTAAATATATCATTTGAGTTTGTTTGGAAATTATTTCTTTCTACCTTCCTAAGGCTGAAGCCTGCAAATCCATTGAGTATGCCATGAAGAAGTGCCCGAATGGCATGTACGCAGAGATCAAATACGACGGTGAGCGGGTGCAGGTCCATAAAAACGGAGACCATTTCAGCTACTTCAGCAGAAGCCTCAAACCCGTCCTCCCACATAAAGTAAGCACCTGGAAACTGTCTCTTCTGTTGTGCCAGCTCCCCTATAAACATGACTGAATTTCTCAACACTTTCTACAGGCAGGGGGGATACTTTCTCTTGTAGACTTCTGTTCTGATTTATGTAGATACTTGGAACCAGAAAAGCAACACCTTTTAGAACTGTAATTGATTAGTTTTGGTGGATGTAAAGAGCTTGAAACTAAAGTTAAGCTACGTGCCTGAGAGTCCTCTTTATGCCCTGTGTTTTGGGAGGCTTGATGCTGGTTGTGTGGTTTGGTTATATTTGTTCAAGACTCGTTTTTCTATTTGTAGACTGTGCTGTCTGTACCACAATAGAAAGTAAAGCTATGCCTACATGTGCCTCAGACACACCTTTGGACCAAACATCTGCATTGGCTTGAGTCCCTCTCATCAGCCAGTAAATGTATTTTTCTTTTTTCTTTTTCTCTCCAAGGTAGCCCATTTTAAGGACTTCATCCCTCAGGCTTTCCCTGGTGGGCAAAGTATGATCCTGGATTCAGAAGTTCTTCTGATTGACAACAAAACCGGCAAGCCTCTTCCTTTTGGGACTCTTGGTGTGCACAAGGTAAAAAAAAAAAAATCAATAAAAATTTAAAAATCCTTTGTTGTGGTTGGAGATGCTGTTAATCTGCTGACTTAAATGCGCTAGGGCCCAGTCTGTTATCTCAGGATAATTTAAGAGATTTGGTGCTTGCTAGAGCATTCCAGCAGAAAATAAGCCTGAGAAGGCTGATATTAATGGAAAGGAACTGCTCTAATACCATAGGTTTGATGTTAACCTCATCACTTAGCAGGACAGTACGAAAACTTTAGCTCAAGATAAATATTTAAAAAAACCTTGGAAAACTTTGCAATTCTGTTGTTCTTATCATTGCTTGAGCAATGTGTGGCAGCCTGGAAGACCCCAATGACGCAGAGAGTATTTAGTCCGTAGGAATATTATGTAATGTTTATGTCTAGAGGAAATGGTGGTGAGGAAAAGGACAGTAAAATGAAAATTAAACTGTAAGTGCTTTAAGTTAAAGTAGCCATTAATCTGAAATCTCTGGAATGCTTGTTGCAGCAGTAGTGACGGATGTTACATTGCCCAAAGTCGTTAATATTTGTGGCATTATTTCCCTGGAAATTAGCATGTTTTATCTTTTAGTTTGTGCTTTGACACATTCAGTCTAAATCTTAAATCTCAGAATACTTTTAGAAAGAAGCCGAAGCTTATTATAACTAAAATGTTATGGAGATAAAAGTACATCCTTTTGTTTCTGTTATTTTTCTAAAGCTCCATTTCGCTGCTTGCTACGACTGCAGATTTCTTTTAATTGGTCTTAATTGTCTTTCAGAAAGCTGCTTTCCAAGACGCCAACGTTTGCCTGTTTGTCTTTGACTGCATCTATTTCAATGACATCAGCCTGATGGACAGGTGAGTGTCTGCCATAGAGTGAGAGTGGCTGGACCAGTTTCCCAGCATGAACTTGCTGGAATACACTCCCAGAGCAGCGGGAGCAGGCACACAGACTGGTCAGACTGGCCTTTTGTCCCTGTAAAATCAAGACAGCATGGGAGAATCCTTGCTGTGCTCAGGGGTTTCACTGTGGAGCTCCATTTTGCTCTGCAGATGCAGAATATTGGGATTAACTGCATTTCAGCTGAACCGAGTGTGGTTCAGCTCATCTTATATTCTCTTAATGTAAAACTTCTATTTTATAACTTATTTCCTGGAGGAAAGTAAGACTTGATTGTCCTTTCTGGAAATCCGTAGGATAATTAATTTAATTATTTAAATAGCTTTTCTCAATGTTCACATTAATGTTAAAATTGCTTTCTTGTCCTTAATTACCTGGTTTAGGCCTCTGTCTGAACGCCGTAAGTTTCTCCACGACAACATGGTTGAAATCCCCAACCGGATCCTCTTCTCGGAGATGAAGCACGTCACAGTGAGTTCAGTGTTTAAATACCACCCATGGTGATCCCACAGATTGCACTTCAGACACTTCATCATTGCTTCTTTACTACACAGCCTTTTTTATAATAAAGGCTGCAAATCTGGCAATTCCCTGTCAGAATGGTGCTCTTTCTGGTCCCTATGCAAGACTTGAGCCAGTGTTCTCCAGGAGGGCAACCTGTGCTCCCATCTCGTCTCGGTTACAGCCACTTCCATAGAGTCTTAACTTTTATATCTCTTTTTTTGGCTTCTTAATGATTTTGTAGCCATTGTCACTTTGACGTTGTTAGGAGGAGCTAAAGCCTGATGTAGCTTAGTCTGTGCTGTGCAATGCTTCACTGTGAGGGTGGTGGAGCACTGGAACAGGTTGCCCAGGGAAGTTAGTGAGGCCCCTTCCCTGGAGATATTCAAGGAGAGGCTCGATGAAGCCCTGGGCAACCTGGTCTAGTTGGGGGTGTCCCTGCTGACTGCAGGGGGGTCGGACTAGATGGCCTTTGGAGGTCCCTTCCAGCCTGGACAATTCTATGATTCTATGCTGAGCTGTGTAGAGGAGACTGAAGCATGATTGAAGGGAACTAGGCTGCTTCCAGTTCCCAAACTGGCAACTTGAAGTGCTGCACAGCCCAGGTACATCCTGAGTGCTAAAAACTGCATTTACAGAGCAGCCTGCTCAGTTTTTCCTTGCATTGTTACACACAAGCCTTGTGTCCTGTTATTTTTCCCCACTGCTACTGATTCCTGTAGCACCTTGGGTTTGGTGGAGAATGTTTAGACGTTTGAGGCAGAGAAAGCATTTTGGGAAGAAGAAAAAAAACATAGTTCCCAAGGCAGTTGGACACAGGAATAAGCAGGGGCTCCTGGCTGAGAGAAGTCTGAGCTTGTACATATGGGGCATACTCAGGACACAGTGTGGCTACCTCTTCTCTGAGGAGTATTTTTAACAAACCCTTCTCTTCTTGGAAAATATTTCCAGTTTAGTCACTGGCTGTGCAGCAAAAAGAACACACTGGGGACTCTCCTTGGAAAACTCTTAGGAAATTACACATTCATCTCTCTGCAGTCGCTTGGGGTTTAGTGCACCTTTGCTCCAAATAGAAAGCCCGAAGACCGCAACCAGTCTTGAGCTAACCGTGATTCCTTTCCTTTTCAGAAAGCTTCAGATCTGGCAGATATGATCACCCGAGTCATCCGTGAGGGACTGGAAGGACTGGTGTTGAAAGATATAAAGGCAGGTTCACGTTTTCTCTTCGCCGGTGTACGCTGGGAATTAGGGAATAACAACAGACAGAGGTCTGTGGGTCATGCACACGAGGCTGAGCAGCCTTCAGACATCTTCTTGTTGATGCTGACGTCCAATCCAAGCTGCTCCTTATGTATCTGAGCACTGCTGTGCTCTTGTGCTGCTAAGCCAGATACAAGCAAGGGCCGTTTGAGGAGAGGGCTGTCCACCAGGGGATCTCCTTTGTGACTGGGGCTTCTTGCCTTGTTTTGCGCAGGGTAATTATGAACCAGGAAAACGACACTGGCTGAAAGTGAAAAAGGACTACCTGAACGAGGGTGCAATGGCTGACACAGCAGACCTGGTGGTGCTGGGAGCTTTCTATGGACAAGGCAGTAAAGGTAAGTCTCTGGAGTTGGCTTCAGTTGGAGCTCTGTCAGCTCAGAAACCTCAAGGTTTTTCCCGTTCCTGGCCTCCTGTAGCATTTGGTCTCCTACCAGAGTGAGCGTAGGTGTCTCAGTGACTCTGTTCTGCAGCCCATCATGTGCTGGGGTGTGAGCTCACTGGGTTAGTTGGCACAGCAAAGCCTTGGGTTTTGGGCTGGGCTGCTGTGCAGTGCAGAGACTCTCTTCAGCTCTGTGTACGGGAAGCTGACTCCTGAAGATGGAAAAGGGTTTGGGTTCATTGCTTTGCTTCTCCCCTCCCGCAGGTGGGATGATGTCCATCTTCCTCATGGGCTGCTACGATCCCAAGAGTGAGAAGTGGTGCACTGTGACCAAGTGTTCTGGTGGCCATGATGATGCCACCTTGGCACGGCTTCAGACAGAGCTGGATATGGTGAAGATCAGCAAGGTGAGAGGGGCTCTGGCCTGGAGGCGACCAAGGGAACACTCAGAAAAGGGCTTGCTAAAACCTTCTTCCTGCTGAGCTGAGGTGCTGGCTAAATGCAGGGTTGAAGTGCTCTACTGGGAATGAATAGAGGCTTAATTAGAGTTAAAACAGATTAACTGCTCTGATACAAATGAGATGTAGGTGCAGCCAGCTCTGAGATGAAGCACTGCCTGAGATTTGTACTCAGACAGTGAGTGGGAAGCCAGGCACCATCTGTTTCCTGCTAAGACAAAGTTTCATTGGGAAGAGCAGATCAAATACCATTTTTCTTGGCATATTGGGATTAGTGAAAATGGTCACTAGATGGGGCTGCGGGTGAGAAATGCTCAAGTGTTGGATAGTGACTGGATAACCCCACCTGTTGGAGTCAAGGCTTTTTGTGAGTGACTGGCTTAGGTGAGGAATCTTACTTTTCAAGACTTGACAAATAAGCAGAGCTGAATTTTAATATCTACTGGATAGGCATTTGCATCGTGGTTATAGAATCTTAAAAAAATGGGTAGTTTTATATGAATCACAACTGGAGCAGCAATGTTATTGTTTTACATGTAGAATGACAGTAATTGGGAGCTGCATTACACCTAATTCTTGTGATTCTCTAGAGAAGAGAAACTGCTGCAGATCAGTGCACCTTGCACTGCAGGCTAAAGCAAGTTTCATCCATACAAAGGCAATGTAACCTATATGCTAATTGCTTCTAATTATCTTTCAGCAACCTCTTTTGTAGCAATAGGTTCATATATGATCATAAAAGCTATTGTTTTGTTTTTGTGCTTTTAATTAATAGGATCCTAGTAAAATTCCAAGGTGGCTGAAAATTAACAAAATCTACTACCCTGACTTCATTGTCCCAGATCCAAAGGTAAGTGCTGTCAGAGTCATTTAACTGCTTTCCAACCCTGATATAGCAATCTACTAGACTTCAATTAATTGTACAAATTGTCTCTGTTACAAGATTAGTTTTCATACGTGGAACAGGAAATTCAGCACATTTTTATCTCTGAATCTTGCAGGTGCATTTGAGGCTAAGAGCTTCATGAAGAAATCATACCTGCTGCACTTCTGGGAAATATTCTTGTGCGTTAAATCCCTTCCAGAAGTGAACTTACTTTAAATTTGAGGCATGAAAAATCTGACTTAAAACAGTTGAAGCACAACTGTAACCTTCAAAAGTTGCTATTGTCATATGGAATGGCTGGACTCGATGATCCCGAGGGTCTCTTCCAGCCTAGATAATTCTGTGATTCTGTGAAATTTATCAGGATGCTTTGTGCCATGTTGTCTGTTAGAAAAAGGTGTTATTTAGAAATTAGCGATATGAGTTGAGGATCTCTGACTGGATAAAGTAAAGATAGAAGATTTTGTAATTAATGTGACCAAGAAGGTCAGCTTGTGTATCTGGAGTTCTGTGTGCTGGGGTGGGGAGGGGGGGTTGTTGCAGAGGTAGAGGAACACAGATGTGTTAGAGTCAGTTGATGAGACGAGACGGGAATGTGACGTGACTTCCTCAATGCTGTGTTTAGAAAGCCCCAGTGTGGGAGATCACGGGGGCTGAATTCTCTAAAGCTGAAGCCCACACTGCAGATGGGATCTCCATTCGCTTCCCTCGCTGCACCCGCATCCGAGACGACAAAGACTGGAAGACAGCCACCAACCTCCAGCAGCTTAAGGTGAGTGAGCGCAGTGCGTCTGCGGCGCCTTTCTGAATAAGTTCTGACAAATCTCTATTTACAGAGACAAATCCCGATAGCAGGGTATGTGGCAAAGATACCTGCTGACTCCTACCTCTGATGTTCAATTTATTCTAGGCTCAGGCTGCTCGCTGGATTATTTTGATGTGCATCTTATGATGCTTTCATGGGGCCTCTCGAGTCTCTTGAGCTGTTGTGCACTTTCAGGAGAGTCTGTGCTGGCAGCAGAGTCCTATCAGCTCTTGTAGCAGCTTTTGTGGGGAGGAATTTCCTTCCTGAAAGAGGTGACCTTTATTCTCTGAACTGTTTATGGTCACTCTGTCTCCCATTAATTGCTGAGATTAGGGCAGGCATCTGGGAAGTGACCGAGGGTAGCCTGGCCCAGTTCCAGGGCAATCAGCCAGGACCCCTGGGGCTGCCACCACCCCACGCAGCTCCTGGGCCTCCTTTGCTGATAGAAAGCGGTTGGCTCGCTGCCATCCCCAGCAGTCAGTCAGCTCTTGATGAGCTCTCTTCTCAGGCTAGTTATTGTCGTTTGGGCTGTCTTCACGCTGCCTACAGGGATGCTGGCAGCAGATGTAAATGCTCGTTAAGCCATTGAAGCAAGGAGTGATTTCAGCCCACCTGCTGCCCCGCAGCCTTTCTGGCTCCCTGATCAGGTAGGGGAGAAAGGTAAAATACCCTCTTCAGACAGGCTGTTCCCTCAGCGAGCAATGGGGATTGTTCATTTTTCAGGCCAAGGAGCCAGGCTCAGAAGAGTTTGTCTGTCTTGCTCTGTAGTTGATCACGTAAATATGGCTTTTGGTACCATCCCTTAATGTCAAGCAGCTGGGTGGAACGCAAGGAGTTTGATCAAAGTTGACAGGAAAATGGCCACAAAGAGGTGCAGGAGGAAAAAGGATATGAGCAAACACTTCGTGGGGGGAAACAAACAAGAGGAGACCATATATTACAGCTTGTGTCTCGTATCGGAAGCTTCGCTGTGGCTAAAGGTGGTGCTTTGTTTCTGGTGGGACAGGAGCTGTACCAGCTCTCCAAAGAGAAGGCTGATTTCAGTGTTGCTGTTGGGGAGGAAGATGAGTCCACAGCTGGCAGCAGCGGGGAGAACGAAGGAAATTCCAGGTCTTCCACACCACACAGCGCTGTTAAAACTCCCCCAAGCAAGTCACCTGCAAAAGCCAAGAAGCCAGAAGAGAAGCCAGAAGGTAAGATGGTGCTTTCCAGGGAGAGGAGCCTCGGGCTTCTCTGTGGTTGGGGCAGGCTGGCTTTGGATCTTTGCCTTCTGTCGGATGCTTGAAGGTCCCGTGGCAGCTTTCATGTGCTCCTCAGGGTTAATGGGCAAAGCTGTTCAGACCCTTGTTCATAGCACAGATTGACCAGCCACAGATCTGAGGTGTGCTGGGACTGAGAAAAGATGGAAACAGCACGGAGGAGGCTGTTTAGGTTGGTGCTTGGGCAACTTGTTTAGTCTAAAAGCTCTTGGAGATTATATGCTGCCTGGAACAGGAACCTTGAACCTACCAGAGTCTCAGTTATAGTTAGTTCCAAAACTACCTTGGAGTAAATCACTTTGGAGTGATTTCTTTGGGACTCCAGCCCCTTTTAATCTTACTAGGTGAAGGTCCTTAGCAGTGTGTGTAAGAGTGGTGTGAACAGCAAACCTGCTGCTCCTGTTCCTGCAGATCACGTGCCCTTTGGTTAGACGTTTTTGGCCATGAACCACTATTTAATTTTATTTGGATGAAATTCATGCATATAAATAGAGCATCTGGATGGAGGGGATTTCCAGGTAGTGAACTGCAAAGCTGTGAAATGAGTTTGCTTCACCAGTGCTTTGTCACTGGGGAATAACGTGCAGCAGATTTCTCAGCAGTCTCAAACAGGCAGCGCGGTGACAGCACGGAGGGAAGTTGAACAGCAACATCCTGGAGATGAGGCAGGAAGATGCCCTGGGCCATTTGCAGTAGAAAAATGTGTCTTACCAGTTACATTCTAACTCATGGATTTTCCAGAAAGAAGGGGGAAAAGCCTTTTTTCTTTTTATTCTTTTCACTGTTCTCCCCCCAATAAATACACATCTAGTATCTGGACAGAGAGCAAAAATGAGATGTTTTTGTTTTCAGAGAACAAACCAGTCATTGGATCGCCTCAAAAATCGGAGGAGAAACGAGGGGAGAAGAGAAAAGCATCTGAGATGGAAGACAACGAAAAAAAGGTATGGAGAGCTGGGGTGGGAGGAAGCTGAGGCAATTTCAACTGTTGGTTCACTTTTACCTTCCATGTGGGCAGTCTTTGAAATCTCCCTATAGCATCACCCGAAACTAAAATGAAATGTAAAGGCAGAAACAGCAGCGACAAGCCCTCTTGTAAAGGCAGTGGGTGACTGTAGGACATTGTTGCACCACTGACATAGCTGGGTTTGTCACACTAAAGGCCAATACTCTCTTCACCCACCAACAATGTTCTGCTCCACAAAGCGCTGCAATTGCTGAGCGGCTGCTCTTCCTGATGGCTGCGTGTGGAAGAGTTGGGAGCTGTAGTGGGAGAGAACTTGTCCTTTCTAGCCCATTGTGCAGCAAATCGTAGGAGTGGATTAAGAATCACTGAGCTGTAGTTTCACTGATAAGCCTGGAGTAGCTGTTTTGATGTAAACAGCAAGCCCCCTCCCAGGACAGTGATGTTCTTCTACTTTGCCTAAGAAGCATCAGCTTGTAAAGGCAAAGCCATGAAGATGGTGTTTACTGGACCACATCAGCATCACCACCAAGGAGAATAATGGGGTAATAACTCCCCTTAGCTGGGGAGGCACTGTTCAGCTGTGACATCTGCCTGTCGGAGGGACTGCACGGGTGTTGCTCTTGTGTATGATTGAATGTGGGTCCAAAGAGCAATTTACAGTTATTAGGCGTGGGATTAGAGCGATAACCTTGGGAACTGTGAGTGGCCTCGTTCATGCCTCAAAGAATTTAGTGTTAATTTCCAGGCTGATCGAATGTTTTTACCAACCTGTGCATTCTCTTGCACAAACTGCAGACGCTGCTGGACATATTCACTGGTGTGAAGCTCTACCTGTCGCCCTCCGTGAAGGACTTCGACAAAATCCGACGGTACTTTATAGCCTACGATGGGGATCTCGTGCAAGAATTTGACACAGCCTCAGCGACGCATGTCATAGGGGACATTGATGACAATCCTGGTGCTAAACGTGTCTCTCCCAACTGGATCTGGGAATGCATCCGGAAACGGAGGCTGGTGGCCCCGTGCTAGGAGTGCGGGGCAGCTGAGCGGTCCTGGCACAGCAATTCCCTGAAGAGTACAGCTGAGGACTAGGTAGGTGGGAGAAATGGTGAGATTCCTCTGTGGAGACGTGGATAGAAATAAAATGCCCGAGTCCATCGGAGGTAAAGATCCATAGCAACCATATGGAATTAATTAAAACAACTCTGTGAAGAAATGTCACTGCTGAATCCATTTTTCTGCCCATAATGTAGACCGCCGCACTTATCTAGGTGCGGGTTTAGTCTCCTTGGGTTTTTAAAGTTTGGGTATTTTTATAGATAAAGAAATAAAACTGAAGCAGTTTCTTCTTTGCTGTCAGGACTTATTTTCCAAAGGTTATTCTTTGCCGGAACAGGAAACCCGACCACCAAATCCGTGAGGCTGTACTGCCAGGAGAGTTCTGCTGCACGGCTACAGTTTGGGTGAAGGACACGCATCCTCCTGGTTTGATTTTTCTTCCCTGTCTTCTAACACTGAGCACAGACCTGTATCTCTCTGTCCAGTAGCAGTTTACACCTCTGCTGTAGGCTTCATATTAAAACTAGGACACCAAATAAGCTTCCATTACAGCAACTGCTGTAGCATTAGCCAAGTGTCCTCTTGGAATGGGGTTGTTTTATGGAATCTGGTGCTCATGTGTTCTGGGATTCATGTTTCAACAAGTAAAAGCTGAGAAAGGAACTCTACCACCTGGATATGCTAGGATAGCTGAGAGACCTCAAAACTATTGGAAGTACTTGAATATTAATGAAATAAGGAAGATTGGTTTTTTATTTTATTTTTTTTTAGGGTTCATTTTAACTCAACTATTTTGCAAATGACAATGTGCATTTGCTGAATAACTCTGCAAGATTGGCCAACTACGCAGTATATTTATGAAAGAAAAAGTGGTTCCTTATCTCAAAAGAGAACAGTAATATCATGAATTTGCAATATTCATAAAGATAAGATTATACTGCTAAAAAGTCAGTGGTTTCAGTTAACTTTTTTCTTTCAACCTCTTCTGTACTTGTACCCCAACCTCTAATGATATTTAAGCACCTGGTACCCCAAGCCTTTTCTGGTTGAAGTTCAGAAGGAGCTGTAGGGTCTCTGCTTTCTCCCAGTCTGGTGGCAGTGGAGTCAGAAAACGAGGTTAACTAAATCACATTTTGACTTTATTATAAAATTATAAACCAAACTTCTGTACCAAAACTAGTAAGTTTAACCATTATAGTACCAAGAGGATTTAATAGAGAATAAGATGCCATTTCAAGTAGAATATTAACTTTTAAAATACTTAAACTATGTACAGTGTACATAAAGCACATAAATATTTCCATTTACTTTATTAGTTCAGATCATTATATTCCTTTGGATCATTAATCAGTTTCCTCCAGATTTTGATTTTCCTTTAAAAACAATCATATCCATAGTAAAGAATCAGTTTTTGCAAGGGAAACACTGTTGTCAGGAGAAAAAGGAAAAAAAAGAGAGCCTTCCCTTCAAAAAGCACATTTCCATCCCTGTGGTGGTACATCTGCCCATTCCTAACGTTTCAGGTGTTGATCTGCAACTGATGTATCTGCTGTAGAAAATAAGCCTACTCTCTACAAGTAAAAGTCCATCTGTCCCCAGGGGAATAACCTTCTTCCTGCTAAATTCCCCCAGCCCTGAGTTTATTGAAAAACATGACAACATGAATTTTCACAGTGAATTTACTAAATGAGGCTGTTCAACACTTGGTGTGTGTATTCCTGTACCTCGTAAAGAGGTCCCAGTGAACCTCTTGAAGAGTAAATACAGTTACTGCTTACCTGCAATATTTATTTTTTTTTTCTTTTTTAACATGGTGCATTGACTTGTACCAGTTCTCTTCTCGTGCTGGATTCGAGAACAACCCCGGCAGGGAAAGAGGTAAAACTCAGAATATTTAGATCAATAAACCTCAGCAGCTGTTGTGTTTTTGTGGAGTTCTGAGACCACCTCAAGAGGGCAGAGGTTCTGCTGCCACTGACTGACAGGTTTCTTCATCTTAAATGCTTTTTTCATTCCGACGTGCTGAAGAGACCCTCCACTCCGTGCCAGCTGCAGAGCTGCTACCCATGCACCGTTCCACGTTAAAGATTACAGAAGCTGAATGTGCTGTTAACATACATTACCACTTACTGCAAAAGCAGATGGCTTTGGTGTTCATTTCTGTAACTGCACTTCCACTACTCCAGAAGCTGTAAGTGAACACGGGGTTTTTATGCTGTTCCTCTGCTGGCAGCCAGGCAGAGATTCAGTCTGAACACTAAGTTTTCCCCATAAAGGGGAAAACTAGACAGGAAAAAACCTGCAGCAGAAGGTACTTAACTTCACAAATGAAGTACACAATCCCACGGTGGCTGAAAACTTAAGGCATCAAGATTCTGAAGCTTATCTGTGCTACCAGCCCAATGGACTGAATGATTGCAGGGGGGGAAAAATACACGTTACAGTCTTCTCCAGCAAGGTTTCCAGATGAGGAAAGCTCTAAGGGCTTGCAATTGTCGTGTATCGGACCACAGAATTTCTTATCCACCTTCACAAGCAGAAAGAGTACAGAATAAATTGCTTTTGATAAGCAGTCTGAACGTAACAGTACTGTAAAGCTGAGCAAAGGGGAGGATAAGGGGAAGCTGATTAGTAAACACAAGCACCTGCAATAACGATCACTCACCTTGTTGATTCAAGGGAGACAAAGTTTGCTTTCTTTCCTGTCTCCCCTCTAAGAAGTCACCTGTACTTAAAAATGATTGTGGAGCAATGGAATCCTTACTACTCTTAGCTCTATGTTTTCCACAGTAAACCCTCTAAAAGATTCAAGCTTTAGAATTCATAGCTTTTTAATCAAGTGAAGTCAGTTTGGGTTCAGAAGGATTGCTGGCACATACTGTAAGGAAGCCTGTGAAGGCAAAGGAACCAACAACTGTCAAACTAGAAATCTCCCTCTCGCTGGCGTGTAAACAGAAAACCACCACCACAAGGTAAGGCTGGGGGTTTCATAGAGTCTCACTCCCTTTACGTTTTTCAATAATATGAAGTCCATCTCCAAATAAAACTATACATTTTTCCACAATTGCACTAGGCTAGAATTACGCTTATTCTGAACACAGAAATTGGAGGCAGTCTGCCTGGCCTGCAAGCATAAGAATTTAACATTAAATTAAAAAACAAAAAAAAAATAAAAAAATTAACAAGCACAAGAAAATTTTAATCTTTGAAAATAAAGTTGTTCCTGTGTGTAAAGCCTAAGCAGCAAAACAAATGTCACTTTTTAAGACCCCAGTCCAACATATTTTTATTATTGAGGGGAAAATACAAAGCCTCTGAATCTTATCCTTGTGGTGGAAAGCCAAGCATCCATCCGTCCCCAACACCAGTGGATAAAGTGTTTCTAGAACGTAGGTTGTTAAAGATTTCTGTGTCTGCTGCTGGCAAAATAAGCTCCAGGGAGTCCAGGCACTGTGGTGTAAAGCACGATGTGGGAAGAGCAGAGCCGGGCATGGCTTGGAGTAAGAAGGATTTTCCCCAGGCTTCATCCTTCCCCCAGCTTCCAATGGGGTCCGTGTACTAATTTCTGACCTAAAATAATTTGTAGCAATTCTGACCGTTCCTCTAAGAGCAGCTGAGGCTTTTTAAGGCATCAGTTTTCCTTACAATTAGGACTTGAAGACGTGGACGGCGCGTATGACGTACTGCCTGCAGATGGGACACTCGCTCATCCGCTTCCCGCACTTGGTGCAGGTGACCATGTGGCCACACTCCAGCAGGACGCAGTCGATGGGCGCGTCCATGCAGATTTTGCAGAGGTTTTCCTCCGTGCCAGGGAGCCCAGCACCACCTGAGACAACGAGACACCACGGTTTTGCATGAGACAAGAGAAAGGTATCTCCCTTTTCGCGCGACCTGGCGGCTGTCTCTATGGAAGGGCTTCCCGCTCACTGAGGGGCTGCAAAAAATCCCCCCTTGCACCTACACTAACGTGGACAGATCTGTCTGGCAAGGAGCAGAATGTTTGAGCTTTCACACAGTATTTTCTGCCTCACAGAAAACAGAAATACAACTGAGAGTCTCAGCAACGAGGCGACTGAAGCAAGGTTTAAGAATGTCACTTACCAGTTTGATCGTCAGTGTCAGAAACTGCAACATAAGAAAAGAAAATTATTTGGGGAGAATAAGAGAAGCTGGAAAAAAAACCCACTTCACTCAAGCGATACTGAAGCAGGGGATGAAAGCCCTGAAGGGAGATTACTAAACCCAAACTGCTTTTTGCTGATGCTCAGGCAGAGGTTCCAGCTGCTTCTCGGGTCAGGATGAGCTGTTCAACTGGCAAGAACTGCCATTTTTGCTGCACTTCCCCAACAGCTAACGCTTCACAGAGATAAGCCACCATCTGAAGTGATTTCTCAATTTTTAAGACAGTTGGAATCTATGCAGTGGTTGGCTTCCCAGAACTACACCATCAATAGCCCCTTGTGACAGTTTCTTTGGTGTTACACCAGTATTGTTGAGTGCATGCCCAGGCAACAGTACTTCAGAGAAAAGGATAAATTCTGTTAAAAGAGGAATATAAAACCAAAGCAACTGTCTTGAATCTTTTATCCTTCATAGAGGACAAAGCTTAGAGAGATGTGTTTAACAAAACAATGCTACTTTGGACAACACTGAGAAACAAACCTCTCTATTTCTCTCTGCACCTCTATCACACTGCTGTCCCCTCATCAGTCACCTGTGTGGGCCCAGAAGGAGCAGGTAGTGCACAGGGGGAACACGCTTGTGATCAAGAGTCAAACCACAGACACCCACAACTCTTCAGCCGTGGCAGCTGCTGTCACTGAGCACAAGCCCTCTCTGAATTGCCCGGCATTTTGGCATTTTCCTGCCAGGGCAGGGCATTTTCCTGCTCACGTTGCCAGCTGCCATGAGTCAATAGATAAGAGCTCACCCTAGCACTGACAGTCATCCGTCTACAGTCGCGCATCAGCTGTTGTGTGGGTGATGCAGTGCCCAGCACGACCTGGCACAGCTACACCCGGACCCGAGGTGAAGGACACAGTTCTCAGTTGTTGCTGCTCCAGGGAACTCACTCTCCAGAGCTACACTCTCCTCAAACAGAAACACTCCCTCCATTCTCCCCACTTACAAGAAACAGAAATGTAAGAGGAGTCCTATTTCCTTCTGCCACTGTCTGTAAAAAGGGAAAAGCTGGAAAACAGTCAGGAAAACGTTTGCTAAGTTTCTTACCTAGATGTTGAAGGTCTTTCTCTTTATAAAGACGGGTCACTCTCTCCAGCAGCTCCCACTTTTCACAGCAGCCTTTGTAGTTGACAAAGTTGCGAGCGAGGATTTCCTTCAGCTGTCGCACAGAGAGCGCATTGATGTCTCCGATGCTCGTGATATCAGAGAGAGAAGCCTTCCTCCCCGGCACCAGGTTGTCTTCTGAGTCACTAGACTGAAAGGGAACACAGATGGAATGATTCTTGCCCTCAACACTTAGCACTACAATTTAAATCGACTTTCAACATGTGCACTAGCAGGAATTCATGTTTGGATGTGCATTACTCTGTGAATTCCTCCATCTATCAGAAACAAAAGTCCTAGGATCAAAATAAATAATTTCTATTATTATAGTGTCCAAATGACACCAGATCTTTCTATATGTGGGGGACAGGATGATGCCAAAGAAAGGGGCTGAGTGGGTCTGCCAGTGGTCAGTCTGAATTACTGTTTAGCCACCCATGTCTCTGCAGTCATGATTCTGTGCTACCAAATACAGCCCAGAAAACCTGGTATCCCTTGTCATCTAATTCCAGGACACACAAACCTGTGTCTCCTCCTCTGTTGGTGCTTCTGCTGCATTCTCATCTCCTGTCATACCGACTTGGCTCGGAGGCACGTAACCGTTTGCCTAGAAGAGGAAATAAAGCTTTCACCACCAGCATTATCTCTGCGTGTCCAAAGGGAAACCAGCTGGATGGTTACTGTAACTGCAAACCCTGCCCACGGGGAGGACAAACCGCAGCACAAGGTAAGAGCGAGGCACGCTCGCAGAAGATATTTCCTGTGCAGCACTTACAAAACCAAATAAACTTTAAACAAATAAAACTTTTTTGAAACTGAAGTGCAGCTTCTGACCCTTTAAAGCCCCGCTTTATTTAAACTCTGATAGGGAACTGGTACAGCAAGATGCCACGTGGTGTTCTTGTGAGGCTGGATCATGTGGAGACCGAATTTATACACACACATGTATATATGGAATCCTTCACTGATGTGGCTGCAATGTGTGACATTGTGTGAAATCACAGCTCTGATGGCACATGGGGTATTGGTGCAAGGCTCTGTGTAAGACTCTTAACACAGCTCAAAAAGGCTACAGGCCCATCTTTGAAGGAACCACACAGAAACACCTCCTCAGGTGGGTTCTGGAGTGGACAAATGGGAGATGCTAAATGAAGGACCAGCAGCAACAAAGCTGGAGAATAAGAAGGGGCAGCTGCTTTGAGCACTTAATAAAATGAAAGGAACTGCAGTGTAATTCTAGCTGACTCACCCTCAGCAGCTACCCTTCCCCTCTGTGCTTTCCCTGCTGACAAAGGAGACTGTAATGTTACCATCCTACTTATCTAAGTGGTGACTTGTTTAATATTTACAAAGCAAAAGACTAACAATAATGATGAAAGAGCCTGAACTGTAGCAGGATCTCATGCAAGTCGAGACAAGAAGCTGAAATGTACCATGGGGCAGCACGGGAAGATGACAGAGCTGAACATGCTGGTAAAAACTGAGATGGCAATAATCAGAAAATCTGAGAATGAAAAGGCCCTTTAATGATTTGTAAAAAATATCCTCCCAGGAAAACTCTTCTTTTGTACTGGATGTATCTGCTGAGGAAGCAGAAGGTACACACACTTTCACAGCCCTGGTCTGCAGGAAACCAAATATACCTAATAACAGTAATAGAACTAGGAGCAGATGTCAAACACTGAGTAAACTTCCCATACCAGATAGCAGAAAGACAAACAAAGCAAAGTCAATAAAAAATAACTAAACTTAAATGCCCCTGACAAGGTTCATCAGAACTGCAAGGTTCATCATGAACTGAAGACTAACAACAGACTTGGGTTTTGTCTTCTATTCATCTTGGTGCAGGAGATACCAAAACTCTCACCCATCTTATAATTATCTTCCCCAGGAGTTTCAAATCCATGATTATTTTAAATTGTGCTTGCTGTCTCGCACATGAATTAGAGAATAATAATAACCATTTCATCTAACACCTACACAGAATTGTCAGAGAGTTGTCGACACCAACACGCAAGACAGATCTGTGCCCAACACAGACATAAAGTACCAAAGGAACAAGTACCAAAGGAACCCATCACAGGAGTATCCAGTGGCAATGGCAAGCGTGGAGCAGAGCACCAGAGAAAACACATCTCAAAATAGCTACGTTTTTCTCAGAGTGAGTGTTCAGTACACCCAGCACTGCCCACCAAATTAAATTCCACTAATGCAGAAAAGGAATGGTACATCAAAGTTGGTGCAGCAGCAAGGCAGTGTAAATTAACTCATTTTCCTAATTATCCTGTAGGAAAGTGTGAGGTCCTCACTCCAAACCCTGAGAAGAGCACGTATAAAATGCAACTGAAGTATTTTGTCATCTGTTCTAAACAGAAGCCCTCCTTGCTTTTTAAGCAGGCATCTTTAATGTCAATTTTTTTTGGCACATTATCTACTTGGAAAATCTCACGCAACACCTTAGTAGTTAATCCAAAACCAGAGATGAATGAGTTTGCAGAAGATGCTTCTGGCTAGAGGCTGTACCTGTTGGCGTTCCTGAGCGAGGGAACTTGAGATGGGATCTGCAGACACGGGAGACGCATCATGTGAGGTAGATGCTGTGCTGGTTGGTGGGAGAATCACAAAGTCTTGCTGTCCAGAGGCACTAGTATTAAATGGATTTGTTCTTATCTGATCCTCCTGGGTAATTACAGGCTGCCGGCCAAGAATCAGAAATACCAGGTCCTCCTTTTCACGACACAACTCTGTGGAAATCTCATGGAGTGCCAAATAGTCTCGTAGATCCTTCACCTTCATCTTTATCAACTCCTCCCGCTGAAAAGCTGTGGCTCGGAAGCGCTGGCAGAGATGGCAGAGGAGGGGACCCCCCTCAGGTTGGCTTGAGCAGGACGTACAAAAATTCTTCTTACAGTCCAAGCAGATGTGCTGGTAAAGAGAAGGGAACAGAATCAAACTGTGACCTCTGTGACCCGCGACAGAGGTGCCCAACGACCGCAGGCAGTGCTCCCCTACCATCTGGAAGCCAAAGTAAGCGATAGCCTCTGTTAAACCATACAAAATCTAATTTATTTAAAAGTGCCAGGTATGTTACTCACGTTCCTAGATGAGGAAAAGGATTGCTCCCATGAGCAGATCATTACAATCTTCATAGTTCTCAAAAAGCACTATTTACGCTCCATTTATTCAGAATGAAATACTGTATTTTTAAACAATTCCCTCAAATGACAGGAGTTTTCTGCACCATATTCCAGACCTGTTCATCCAGTCTAAGCCACAGATGAGATCAGGAGATACCCATGAGGCAGCAGACTTTCAAGTAAATTACAGCTGGCTGTGCATTGCTCTATAAAACAATGAAATATTGCTCTGTGCATTAGGAAAGCTCTACTTAAAACCACTTCTCTATTTCAGATTTAATACTTGTTATGAGTGATCCCCCTCCCCACCTTATTTTTTTCCTTACAATTTGCAGCAATTACTAAATCAATCTTTTTCTCACCAGAAGAGGAAAAGGAAACAGCAAGGCTTGCAGTGTCTGACAGACTTCAGAGAATCCAACATTTATTTATGCAACAAAAATAGCCAGCTTATTTTGAAAATAATATGCACACTGTGTGCCAGTTCAGTGCTAGACAGAAAGTGTTGGAAGTTTTGGAAATATTAGGCCCCAGATGTTTCAAAACTTTACAGATTAAATTCTGTTGTTTAATGTTTATATTTTACATTGTTCTGATCTCGTCACTCAGGGCTCGATTTTCAGAAGTTCCAAGCACTCACAGTCCATGTTGGCTTCTGCAGAAACTTGACTGTTCAACACTTTGGAAAGTCAAATTCTACATTTTCCAATAGGAATAGAAGCAGAACAGCCGCATTATGCGCCTTTTAAAAAGTCCTGAGGGAAGAAAGAACTGGTTTTAGTGCTGGTTAAAAATGCTAATTCACAGTCTCTGAGAAGACAAGCATCTCTATGAAATCCTGACATCCTGACCCTTCAGAGCTATGCAAGGAAAAAAAAAAAAAAACACGCAGAGTTGGAGAAGCAACAAATAACAAAACTCAGAGACAAAAAACCCTGTTTCATTAATTGCTCCTAGTGATTAAAGAACATTTTTCACTCCACAGTTCAAAGAAAGCAGATGTTTCTCATGTTTTAAAAGGTGTAAATACACTACTTGCTTACATCAGCTCCTTCTGATCCCCTTTGCAGCCCGGCAGCCCCCCCGCCCCACGCACCCCCTTACAATTATAACCGACAGACTCCTCATAGACTCCTCATTTAGACCCTGTAATAGACTTATAATGACAGTTAGTGGAAAGAATCCCCATTTCCTGCCTAAGCATTTTAAGAAATGAAAATTTCTACCACAGACAGAATCGCTGGTCATGCAAACTTGAAACCTCATCTCAAAATTGCTTTTTGGGGGCCTTCCAAGTAAAAGTGACTTTCATCATCACAGAGCAAGAAAGGAAGGGCAATTTCCACATGCCATCCCGTTTTGAGAAGTTTTCCTTAACTTGGTCATTATAAAAAACATTAGTATGTAACTGACTTTTTTTGACCCTAGCACTGCAGGAGCAATCCAGAGATTTTCAGGGCAGGGACAGGAATTACTGGTTGTGTGTGTGTGTCTGGAGCCGGGGAAGAATGGAAAAGAACCCCACTGACAACACTGCACCTCTCAACCACCCATCTCTGATGGGGGAGCAGCCAGAAGAACTGAAGGGAAAACAAACCACCCCAAACCCAACCATCCCTGCTTTTCTCTGGCAGGGGAAAGCCCCCACCCCCGTGGTCCACCGATTGCCAAACAGGCTCCAAAGGGAATCACTCTACGGCCAAGGACCTTCCAGCCAGAAAGCCCCTACTTAAGCACTTGTGTTTAGACACCACGTAAGCCACCGCAGCACAAGGGCTGCATTATCCAACATGTTTGGGTTTTTTTTTTGCAAGCAATCAACAGTAATAACACGAGTCTGCCTCAGTTATCAAATGATACATTTCAGAAGTCAAAATAAAACCAGACATGTCTCTGGCTTATCAGTTCCCCACTAAGATTCATCAGGGGAAAAAAAAAAAATCCCCCCAGCCTGTATCTGAGCATCAAGTATTTGAACATGCACAGAAGCTGCTTGCCAAATCTCAGTATTAAGCAGCTTTTTACAGCTTCAATATATTCATTGAACTCTGAACTGAAAGGGCAATGCTTGAAGACACCAGTCTCTTCAGAACGATTCGTTGTAGATTAAAACCTGTTACTAAAAGGTCAGACCATTTTTGAAGGATGTTTACGAGCTGGTAGCACAATCACAGGATGGTCAAACAGAAGTGAAATACTTTAAATCAGAAGCCTGCCCAGAATGGAAGCTGTTCCCGGTTGTTTGCTCTAACATCTAGTCTCCCAGAGATACCAGGATGGGCCTTTGATACACTTGGCTCTTCTCTGTCTGCAGGATAAAATGAAGAAATGCCAACATTCAAGCTTTCACTACAGCTACTGTTGCTCGGGTTGGGTGGTGGGTTTTTTTTCATCTTACGCTCAATCTTGCCAGGAGCTTTTTCTGCAAGTATGCAAAGAAAAGCATCCTCCTGAAAATGTCAGCCAACTTAAGGCACTGACATCAGAAAACGGGGGAGGAAGGAATAACAATCTGACATATCCACCAAGAAAGCCTGCCATAGCTTCTAGCAGCAGAGAGGGAAAAGAAGAATACTTGTTTTAAATCAAAAAGATTTTGTGGAATCAGTTTGCTGCAGAAAACCAAGATCAAAAAGTCATGCAAGAGAGTGAAAACATAAAAAATACTCAGAGGTTTTTGCTACCATAATTAAATTTTACATCCTTTAAAGATGCTCCAATAGTTATCTAAAAGCATCTTCTAAGTACATGCTCCATTCAAATGTCCCCTACCCTAATCCTTTCAGTAGGTGCCATGTCATATGAAAATTAAAATACAACACCAAGTACTTAAGATGCCACCATTATGCTTTTTGGAGTTTTGTTTGTTGGTTGGTTGATTTGGGGTATTTTTAAAGCAATCTGGGTTATCTTTACAGTCACCAATGTGGAAGGAATTAATTTTTATCTATTGTATTTCAGCATAAACGTTAAGTAGACACTAGAGTTCAAAGGAGAGAATGCAGAGTTTTCCCTGCTCTCATTGCAGGAAGGTGAGATTTCATACACTTCTTGGTCTGTATTGACAGAATTAAAGAATTAACATGGCATACAAACATGTCAGTGTTTTATGAATTACATATCCAGCTCTCTTCTGTAGAGCAAGGGCTGATGGATGAGCTCTTGCAGACCTTTGCCACCTGTAGCCATCTAGCTGAGAAGCTGGTCCCAGATATCCCTGTTCTGTAGTTGTGGTGGCAGAAGGATGGTGGAAGGAAGGTTTAGGAGCCCCCCCCTTCACAATGTGGAATAGAAGCCTCAAACTCATTTTCATTGATAGTCTGTGCTGAATGGGAGCAGCTGAGACAAGCACACATTGTACTCTGCTGCCCCACTTACACCGACAGCCAAATCCAGCAGAAAAACAGGGAATCTGGGGGGGCAGAAACATCTTAAATTGCTTCAGTAGATCCTCTACAATTTGCCCAGCAGAGCTTTAGCTAGTCCCCATTGGTATATTTTTACATATTTGGAGCGGTACTGATGACTCTTATACTAGAGACTGCTTTAAAGAGAGCTTATATTAGAACAGATATTTTAGAAGATACCAGGAAAAATGGGACCATGATTCTAGAAGTGCTACTCTCTAATCCAGACTTAACTGCACAAATTGTTTTCATTTCAAAAGCAGAATCATCTACATCCACTATTCGCTACTGTGCAGAGGAATAAGCACTGGATTCAGAATAATTCTTTCCACAAGTGTTTGAGAAGATACATTATGTTAATGAGGACACTGTTAAAGCAAACACTACCTGGAGTCACGTGCAGCAACTGCACCATTCCCACCTCTCTCAGAACCTGCCTACTGTCAGATAAAGTCCAAGCATACTCATGTACCCAAAATATATTCACATATATACCCAAGCCCAAAACACATCACCAAAATTTAAGTTTGTAGTGATTTCTGGAGCAATAACACTTCTCAGTGCAAAAATGTATAAACATCCATTTTGTGAGTAGACAGCAACAGCTCTGCCAAAACTTATCATTTTTCAGAGACGTGCCAGCATGCATGAATAAAATGGTGCAAGAAAGACCAATTTATTAGTTTCCCCATATAATCTAAAAGGGGTGTGGCCAAAACTCAGTGTAATTTTTAAGTTCTCACATTATTAAGTTCAGTAACATACTATATATAAGACACTTCAGCCACAGAGTTTGGACTCTGAGCAACTTCCCCCACTAAAACATTTTTCAAGCAGCATTAGAGGAACCACCATGCCCAAAAAATGCTGCAGACAGGGCTTGCTGTCTAATTAAAAATCTTGTGGCAACAATTATTTTGACATCTATATGCTCACAAATGAATTTTACAAGGAAGATAAACTGGATTTAGTTTTTTTTTCTTTTTTTTTGGCACTGAGCTTCAGCAATTCACCACACACCCTCAATAAACTTACATGGGCTTTTTAATTTGAGCAACAGCAGTTTGGAAAAGAGATATGTAGATCTTCCTCTATTGAAAGCACAGATTACTAAACTTCTTGCCTCTTTTTTTTTAAAAAAAAAAGGACATTAGTGTTTTTAAATAACAAATTTTAAAAAACTCGTGTTCAAGTTAATGCTCCTTTAAATGATTATAAGTAGTTTGGCATTCTTCTTTCAGTGCCTGGGAAAGCCAAGTCTCCTGAAGGTTAACTACCACATTTCCAGTCATCTTTAACTACATCTGCTAATTGGGAAAGAATGACTAAAGGCACAGAAGCAAAGGCAAGCTGTCTGCTCCCACATGGAACGTCCTCAGAGGCCTCTAAGGTGTACCAATTTCTCTTCAAATTGGCTCTTTGTCATTAAATGGAAGTCAGATGAAGAGTGCCCTAAGTCAGGGGTGCAGAAGAGGTTTGGGACTCACCTTCCTGGCGGAGCTGTCGAAGCGCAGGCCGCAGGCTTTGCAGCTCTGCTCCGCGGCGGTGGGAGAGGGGAAGGAGCTGTACCCGGGGTTGGAATAAGCTTGGGCTCCAGGTCCCTGCTGCGGCTGAGGCTGCATCTCTTCAGGTGAGCCATCCAGACAAAACCAATTACAGCAGCTTGCCCACATAGTCACTGGAAATGGAAGAGACACATTAGAAACGACACGGGAAACAATCCCTCAGCTAAAGTGAGAACAAAGCATAAAATGCATATTTAAATTTCCCACCAGCAAGTCACTTCTGACACTGTAAGTTTTGATCTTTCCTCTAACTTACTTCTGCACATGCAGAAACCACATCCCCAGCCCAGCACAGCATGCCTTTTGTGAGAGAGAACAAATAAAGTTCAGGATAGTCATCACTGGAATTTCTTAGAGTTGAGAGATTACAGCAAAAATATTATAAGATTTCTGTTCCGCTTGGCTGTGTGAGACTCAACGATCATGCTTGCTGTAACAGGCTGTCTCTATCCCATGTAAACTGTAATACACTTCCTTTTTTTTGTGCATCAGAAAAAGCAAACAGAAGCTCAAATCACGTCTCATACATTACTTAAATAAAATCAGCAGCAAAATCATAGATGGCTATTCTCTAATTTTATTCTAAATCTCTTTACAGATTTACAGCCATAAATCTAAAAAGATAAAATAATCAGTGGAGCCACTGATTAAACATATGCCAGTTCTCAACTGAATTTGCAGCATTACAAGGCTAAATCATTATACAGCGAGTAAATGTCAGGAATGTACAAAAAATCAAATACTATCTTCTGGTAACCTACTTGGGAAAACAACTGCATCTGACATACATAATCACTTGTTTGGTTCGGGGTTTTTTGCAAGCCAAATGATGATATATATACACTTACCTAAAATCCTATCAGTTCAGTGCAAAATGCACAGTTTTGGAGTCTCCTAAGACCACCCATGCAGCAGGATTTCAGAAACACGCTGCTATAAACTTGCTTGGGGGAGTTTACAAAGAAATGGGAATTCGTCTGGGCATTCAGTTTCTAGCGCGTACACCATGTGTCATCACTTACTGGTAAACAGAATACAAATTGCCTCCTCTGCAGTTCTGCATTCACACTGGAGTTCCTGGACTATGTTTCTTTTATGTCTTAAAAATCAGATGCATCACCGATAAGCGTTCAGCAGCTGCTCAATTTTATAAACTTCTGGAAATAAAACATCTCTCAGCCACGCAGCCACTTCATCTCTTTTGCCTCAGGCAGTATTGCCACTGGAAAACTCCGGATTCCCAAGGGAAAGGGGCTGGTATGAGTCCTAAAGGTTATTTGGTACCATATACTAACATACTCTTCTGTTGGGTTTGGTTTTGTTTTAAGCTCTGTTAAGTCTTTTGGGTTGATGTATTTGAATTGGGAAGCTTGTGCAGTTTGGTGCTGTTCCAGTATCTGTAGCTTTAGTGGCACCTTTAATCCTTTCAAAATCCAGCTGGATTTGGCTCGTCAAAGTCCCTGCTGTCACTGCAGAGGACATAGGCCTTTCAGAACCCACAATGGGGAGCTTACCGATGACCTCTCCCCTGCAGGCTCAGCAGATTTGAATGTGTAAGTGAAAATCTACAGATTCATGACATGATAAACAATTCTTAGTGGAACTGATGAGCACAATGCTGTAAATTGCACTGAGACTGGTAACTACATCTCTAATAACAAATAATAAGAGGCAAAAAGGAGCAGCAGCCGGCTGCTGAGAGGACAGGGGTGACCAAAGGTACGGCACAGAGACACGGGGCACAAGGTTATTAGTACAAATATCTATGATATCAAAGACATTGATTGCTGATTCTTTCCAACACTGAAAATCACAGGACTAAAGCAGCATCAACATGTTCTCCACACCCTACAATCCCCTCACTGAGTCCTGACGTGAAATTCTGGAGGTGCTTCCAAACGGTGACCATCCATTTGAAGCAATTCTCAGCCACAAAAAAATCAGGCTGCTCTGCTTCCCCAGGAGCTCGGACACAAAACTACCTCGGCAGGATGTGTGTGCTCTGCACAGAAAACACTTGGGAGAGTCATCACTCTGTGAAACAACGAGATCCTTTAGGCCACCAAGAACTTTGATTCATGTTACATCCCTGTGCACAAAACCTGGTGTCAGAAGACAATAAGCCTAAACACAGTTGTTATTATTTATAAGCACAAGCAAGAATTAATGAAAACCAGTGCAAGTTCTTACTGACACACAGGGATGTGAAGCCTGAAAACATTAATGGCATAACTGCAGTGCCTAACAATGTGTTCCACATGCCACAGAACTCATCTTGCATAAGCAGGGTAATTATCACTTAATAAATACACAGAGACAAGCGTTCCATGCACAGAAATAATGTATCACCCGTTTGTATTAGCTCTGCACTGCCATCAAAACATTTGCTTTAGGTATCACACATAAAACAATGAAATTTTTCTTTCTGCACCTTAATTTTCAAGGTATTGGTCCCCCTCAGAAGTGAACACATCCTTTCTATTGCAAAAATACTGAATTTCTATTTTAAACTATGCTGTTTGGAGGTTTCGTTTGTTCCTAGGAACTGCAGATCTAAACACCACGAAAGCTGCACAGTGAACCCAGTATTCGCAGCCTCCACCGCGCTGGAAAACTCTGTCCATAGTCACTTTTCTCCCCATTTCAAGGACCCCTGCGAACCGAAGGCCACCCACAATAACAGAATACACAAATGCTACTGCCTGCCCCCAAAACTTTGTTTTCCTAAAAAAAAAGACAGCCCTCTAATTCACTCTGGAACGTTGCAACGTGTCAAACACTGGGAAGAAAAACACAAGGGAGTACACAAACCGGGATAAAATAAGACAGAACTCGGCATTCAGCTGGAGTTGTGTAATTGCCAGGAAATGAAACGATTGACAAGAGGCTCAGATGTTGCTTTAGAAGAATCTTAATCCTGCTCATCTACAAAAGCAGGGAAGGGAAACATCCATAAACAAACAACTAATAACCAGGACTGGCTTCTTATCCGTAACGTTTTTCCAAAGATACCCCCCATCTCTAAGAGACAGGAGCACATGGAACCACAACAGCCATTCCTACAACACAGACAACATTGCCCCAACTAATTTTCTAGCTATCTGCGACCATTTCCCAATTCCTCAGGAGAGCAGTGGCTGAAAAGCAAGAATTACACTTGTGATACCTGGATCATGCAACAGATGCTACATGGCAAAGCTTTGCCAACTGGCAGCCGTGTGGCCAAGCAGGTTGGACTGAGGCTGAAGATGCTAAAACCTCTCTGTATCCGCCTACAGCCGCACTAAGATGACAAGAAAAAACGCAGGTAAGATTCAGCAGCTGCTTCAAGAGGGATTTTTCCTTTGCTCTGCACAGCATCAGTTTTAGACCAAGGAAATAAGCGCTGCCGGTGGGCAAGGACTGGAACTTGCAAGCAGAATTTCACAGCAAAATTTCAGGATGGCAGTTTCCTAGATATCTCCACAATGTTTGCTACAGCCTAACTATCCCCTTAGTTGTTTTATTACCCATTCAGAGGAACGTGGTCAGCACCATCCAGAAATTGGTAATTTCTGAAAGCGGTGCTTTAACAGACGGGCTGTTGGTACAGATGTGACAGAGGTTGAGCAGCACAGCTAGAACGTGCTGCCCTGGGTAAGGCCGGGCAATCCTTTGCAGATGAAGGGCTGGTTTATGTGCAGGGAGCTCCTCAATTACACTGATGCAACAAATAAATGCTCAGCCACAAAATTAACCAGCAGAAAGAGCTACTTCTTGGTTGTGCTTCAGGGCTTGGTAAAGACTTCCAGTATTGACTAGTATTAACATGTAGATTTCAAAAAGTTAGCAACACCGTGGATTTCAGGAATTCCCAAGCAACTTCTTGAATAAAAAATGTTGACTTACTGGCGTGACTAACGTCACAGGCATTGCTGATATCCACAGTCTTCATTATTCTTGGACATGATGCTCATACAGGTCAATGGAAGCCACAGAAAATAACTGTTTTAACTACACAGCTGAGCGTGTTTTTGGGCAACTGAAATCTGTATGGCAGGGGCTCAGCAGATGACTTCAGGCAGCCAAAAAGTACCTGCCCTGCACCCTAACTGCGTGTTGTGCTTCGAGCATCTGCAAGAGCAAAGGGAGAAGGAGCTTCACCAAGGGTGGAGATTCCAAGATTAAACACCCTACTCTGGACCTGCAAACACATCCACCCACGTAGTAATCACCATGCTGGGCTTGTTCTTGGGAAGGGGAGGTTGTTCTATCTTCTTTCTTGAGCTTCTTTAAGGAAAAGCCAGAAGAAAGGAAATAAATATTGGACAAGGCAGGAAGTTATTTGCCATGGTCTGTGGGCAAAGCAGTGTGAACGCTCTACCACGCTCTGACTGCTATTTTATTTTTTTTCCAGTATGAAGCTGTGACTGCTGTGACTCTCTTCACCGATTTTAAACAGAAGAATGAAAATCATTTCACCACCTGTTCATCAACATGTTCTATACATCACCATTAGTTTTGTATAGATTTGCAAGCAGGATTTAATTCCGGAGGAAATACCAGTGATGTCAAAGTTTTCCTCCCATACACCGTTGAAGATAGTATTCATAATGCACACCTGGATTTTTACACTTTCCATCTTCATTTAAAAAATGTGTTTGAACTCAGGTTCCCACTATACGTGCAATATTAATGCCATAAACTTACTGGCTGGAGTATCAGAGATCACTGTCTACACAGAGGATTTGTTACACATGCTTTGTGGATTTCTATCAAAGGGTAGACTTAGGCTGTATAGGAAAACAGTGGTTTATGTTAGAATATAAAATTTCCCTTTACTTTCCTAAGAGGGCAAACAATAAGGGACTAGAACAAGTGAAAAGTACATCTCGGAGACATTGAGCTTTCAGTTCTGTATAATAAAGCTCTTGATGACTGTGTCTGGCTTCTTTTCCTGACTGCTCAGGAATTCAGGGGCTGGAATGCAGTAGCACCAACGAGACACTTGAGTTAAGGGATCAAAAGGAACCGAGCTCCCACAGGCAGCTGATTTTGCTCCCACAAGAGGAGAAGCCACAGCAACAAGTCCTCCTCCTCCTCCTCCTCCTCGGAGGCCTTTAACCACTGGAACACCAGGACTGATGACCCTTGAGGCTACTGCGAATAGAGGAGGGTGCCAAAAAGGGAGGGAGATGGAAGACAAACAGCAGCTTTGCTAGGGCATGCTTTCCTATGATCAAGTTTGCTTATTAGCTCTATCAGCTGCCCTCACATCTCCTAATTTAGAAGATGACTGCTCACCACAATGAGCTGCTTTTCTATCAGCTTCCTGAACAATCAAGCTCCTCTTTCCATCTCATTCATCAAGAGGCCAAGCTCCTTGACTATCTGCTTCCTACCCTTCAGAACCCCCCCATGATCCTGAACTGTCTCCCGTTTCTCAGCAGTGTCCAGGAGATTAATGCAGAGTCTCTCAGTCTTCCCTCTCCCCCTTCCCCACACTCTTTGCCAAACTCCAGGTAACTGGTAACAGAATCCAGTAAGGTCTGCGTGCTTCCAGTACAGATACTATACACCAATGTACATCCAGCCTGTTATCCACTGAGTGGCCTCCACAACATCAAAACCACAGTAATTGGTAAGACACAACATTCAAGGCAACACACCAAGACTGGAACTAATGCTGTTCACAAAAGCAGTAGGTTCTGCCATGTCTTGTAGCTTGAAGGTCACTGAAATCTATTCAGACAGCCAGAACGGGGCAGTGTGGCTTTAAAATATCGATGTCTTGGTAAAGTACATTTAAAATTGTTGGTTTTGCATTATTATTGCATGCTGTATCCCCTGTAAAATTTCTCAGATCCCACTTCCATGAATGTTGCTTGGCAATGATTAAAATATTTAATGAGTTAACCATCTTGGTTCCTCATTAATAGCTTTGTACAGTTGCTCATTGTTACAATGTACTCGTTTTTTTCAGTAAACCTGCACTGATAAGAAATACCTTGCTAAAATTAATTTCACTAATAACCTACCACTTACAAACTGAATTCGGAGCTTGCTTGGTCAAAAATTAGTATTTACTTGGTAACAGAGCTATCAAATAATCTGCTCAAATGACATTTATGCATGAAGTATTATTTTTATCAGCCCGTGTCACAGGCACACGGACCCGAATTATGATAAATGGGAGCAACCATATGTTGGGACAGGTGGAAAAGTCAGCAAATTAGCCATTTGCAGGAGGCACAAGGGAAGGAGGCAGGTTGCCAGTCTGAGGGTGACATTTGCAGGGGTGGTGTCTTAAGCAGTACAAAGCATAAGAAAACGAAGAGCAGGGACCAGCCCTAGCTGGTCACAAAGCACGTAAATCTAATTTGCTGTATACAACAACTGGATTGAACAGATAAGATTTTTACCTGGGGGATAGAAAAAAATGTGTTCATGAGTAAAGGTACTAGTTCACATGGCGACAGCATGACAGCACACACATCTTGAAAAAATAAGTAAATAAATATCAGCGTTGTATCACAGCTGGAAACATGAGTGTTCATGGGGAAGAGAGGCTGAAATTTTGTTTGGAGGGAGGAGACATTTTCCTGTTTTGTTCTGTGCCTTCAAAACCTCTGGAGACACTTCACATCTCTGACCAGCTAAGTATGCAATACCAATAATCTTTAGAAAGACAAACATACGATTGCTCACCAGTCTGATCTGCAACTTGGATGTCAGTCTAAAACATTTCAGGTGGGGCTCTGGCCAGCTCTGAAGGCAGCAGAAGGAGTACTCCAGTCAATCTGTGTACTCAGAACCCCACGTGTCCAGGTTGGTTTCTATGGCGTCTCCGTTGGCCTTCTGTGCGTCCCGGAGCGTCCGTGCTCACAAGGCACGTCAGGGCTACCAGCTCCACTCCAGCTGTGTCCACAGACTCACATCCACTGGCTGCTTCCGATGGACAGAGCAGGCTGATACCAGCACCCCATGCCCCTGTGCTCTCTAGACCTTCCCCATCACACGTGGACAGTAGACCATTGGCCGTTCAGCTTGTGCCTTCTGGTAACCCATCTTCAGACCCTCTTCAATACAGCACGACGCAGCTCCAGCTGTGCTTCTCCACCTCGGAGACTCCTTCAAAACCCTCTACGTGTGGGCACCAGGCGTTTCAGAAGGCAGCTGTGCATCTCCAGCACATCCCAACTCACCCAGACCCAGGACCGTGGCACACAACCGGATTCACCAGCGCGAGCGCTTACGAGGTGCTCTGCTGCTCCCAGCGTGCGAGCCCGAAAGGAAGGGAATTTGGCTGCGCCCCAGCATTTTAATCAAGGAAGTGACATCCATTTACCACAGAGCAGAAAGTAAACAGCGTTCCCCGTTGGGGCAGGGTGCAAGGCAGCGCAGGGAAGAAGCTGGAGCGGGGCCACCGCAGTTCAGCAGCCAGAGCCACACACCACTTCGATGAAACGCCATCGCCCAAAATTATTGCTGGTTCCGAGAGAAGCACCAAAGCGACTGCCTAGTTCTAGGGTACAGAGGAAACCATCGGGCACACAAAGATCCTTTCATACTGCTAGGAACCTGGTTTGCACTGGAGTAAATCACTGGAGTAAGCCCTTAGAAAATTGGCTTAAAAGAGCAGAAAATTAAGAATCAGAGTTCTCAAAGACATTAAAAAAAAAAAAATACAGTAGGTATTCCAAGAAAATTTGCAGCTTTATCCGTGTTTATCAGCACGTTATGTTACCAGTCATTCACAAGCTTCCTCTCAGCAGCAGTCGCTGATGCTCTGTTAGATTTACAGGTAGATCTTCAGCGAAAGCGCCGTCGCCCACCAGCAGTTCCCCCCAGTACTGGTACAAGCCCAGCGGATCTAAGCTTCAAGCACCTCTTCAAAACTAGAGCCCTGCAATTTTCATTTTTAAATTGAGGCGGCGCTTTTAGAAAACTGTGTGATTTATAGAGCATTGCAGAGGAACCAAACTCCAAAGGCAGAAACAGAAAGCCCCTCACTGGACTCCCAGCGTCGCACCCCAACTGCAAACTCACCCACCCGCCTTCTCTCTCCTCTGCAGCACAAGTAAATCCAAATTATTTTCCCCAATTTTAACATGAGAAGCTTGGGAATCCTGTTTTGTTTTAAAAGGAACTGGCTACCTGTGGTGCGTGGGGTTTTTTTCAATATAAACTGTTTATTTTGACCCCAAATTGCACTTTATATATTGAAAAATATTTAGATTAAAAGTTCTTCTTGCTATTAACTGTAATTAGGTCTCTAGACATCTGCCAAGATGGAAATTCAGCAACAGCCATTTCCTTTGCAAGTCAGTGACATTCTTCCAGCAAGTTAACACAAAACAAACAAAAAAAAAAGTGATTAATGAAATAATGTGACTAGTTTGAGGAAAAGACTCCTCTTAGCCAGTCTATCTGAATTCCTTAGTCCCATACCCCTTCCCAAGTAAGTCTATCTGGGGTCAGAGCACTCTCCCTTCCACTCTCCTGCTATGCTGAAAAACAACTGAAAAATCCAGTGCCCTCTTTCACACTATGGCATTCATCAGCCAGACAAAATTAAGTCAGCTGCAATATATAGCACGAACCACGTCAGAAAGAGAAGAAAGAAAACTCTGGAGAAGTAAGATTCCAAGGTACTCCATTTTATTCCCATTCCCACTCTCCTGGGATCCTGTGTGGGTGTGTGTGTCTCTGCTTTGTCCCACACACACAAGTGGCAGGGAGAGTGGAAACCCTCTGTCAGAACCTCAGCAACGAGCAGTCCAAGGGTCCTACAGCATCACGTACCATTTCAATCAGTCCTTTTCATTAGGAGGGAAAAAAGGCAATGCTGGCTTGTGCTCTCAATTTCTTTTTTTTTTTTTTCATTCACATCATCACAAGTCTTCCTTGGATTGAGTTAGGAAACACCTCTGTTTTCTTCAAGCAGTGGGGAGCTGATAAAATTGCAATTGCAACATGTTGCAATAAATTCCTAAATGACAACCTGAAAAAATGTAAATAACTGTGTAGCCTCCTTAACCAGCTCTATTCAAGGGAGGTCGTCATTCCATACTCTCCAGACTTTATCTCAAAACCCACCTAGACCACTCTTCCATGACAGCCACGTGGCGATAGCTGGATCTGTGCCCCCCTAACAGCAAGACATGGGCTCCAAAGGCACAACACAAGCTTTTCAGGGAGCCTTCCTCTCGTTACACTACATGTATTTCACTCTCTTTACAAGTTTCACAGAAAGCAAAGAAAAAGGAAAAAAAGGAAAGAACAGAAAGTTGCTGAAACTCAGTTTCTGTTGTGCTGCAAAAGACTACGAACAAAATGACTTCAGCATTCAGACAGTACAAGAAAGTAGGAGCAGTTCCACAATTTAACCAGGGACATAAGGGAAACAGCTTTGAATCACCTCAGCTGTTACCAAGGAAGAAGGCAACCACTGCTGGGAAGCTTTAACACTACTCTTCTCCTAAACTGGGGGAATGGAGGCAGCTGGAAGAAAAAGTGGAGGAGAAAGGATACCAGTTTGTATTTTCATCATATCACTAGAGTTTCCACTTCAGATAAAAAGAAATCAAGCCATTTCTGTTGAAATCCTTGGCCCAAGAGGCCTATGATGACAGCTGCTCATCTTGTTCCATTATGGCAAGTTTTCCTCCAACTGGATAAATTACATATTCATCACCAGTTCATCTTTGGAATGAAGCACAAGCATATGGGGGCAGTTGAACGGAGGAGAAAGAGAGGCATTATCCCAGCCACAGCTCCTCAAACTCATGAAAACCCTTACACCCAACCCGCAGAGGCAGGGCAGGGATGCAGAAAACAGGAGGCATCTCACCCCAAGCTGCAGTGATGTGCACAGGAACTCCCCATCTCACCTAGTGCACAAGGATTCAGAGAGATGATACTCTTAAAGCAGCTATTCCCAAAAGAGAGACAGTTATAAGTACAGTCTGAAGTCTTGCAGTGTTACTCATCCCACAGCAGAGCTGGGGTTGGAGGTGGTGTGGCATCAGTAGCTGGAATTACATTAAGTTTGTCTGAAATTGGGATTGCAGTTGGCACTAATGCTCTAAAGACTCCGTGCTATCGCTGTCTCTCAGACACCCAGAATCGAGAGTGTTTGCTGATAAGCGACACCACCAGTTGGAAATCCCATAAATTACTTTTCATGCCAAGCTTCAGGTTTATTTTTGAACAGTAAACTTCTAAATCTTTTTTTTTTTTTTCCTTCTTCCCACCCCAAGAAATCAAGAAGATAGCCTCAAAATGCCTCACACACAAAGCCTACTTTCCCCCTCCCCTGTTATTTCAGGGGCTGTTAGTAGAAAATCAACCTAAACCCCATGGAATTCATATCTGTGGAAAAGTGCACGTGCAGTAAAATTGCACTGAAGAAAGCTCTGTGCAGGCTGGTAGGCAACCTCTAACCTATTTAACTGTAGCCTGAAAAAAAAAGAAAGATCGTTTTTATTTGGCTAGACTGAAAAAGATCTGAATGTATATAATTGAGGCACATCACAACAAGTACAAACACTGCAGACTCATTTCATAGCTATGCCTAGTCCAAATTAATCTAAATTCAAATCCAAACTAGGTGCTGAAATAGAATAAAATGCAACTGTGGATCATCTCCTTCGGCAGACACGTACAAAGACCAGCACATACATCACACGCATGGAAAGCTCTGTTCTCCCAGACTCCAGAAATACTTGAGTTTGTCAGCAGTTAGAGAAAGGTCCAGGATATTGAATACAGCACCAAAAAGCAACAAACCTGAATATTAGTTTTGTTACTGAGATAGCAAAAGATACTGGAATAGAAAAGTTGGTTTATTTAAAGCTTAGTCACCTCACCTGTGGACAAGGAAAAATACCCCACCCTCCTTTGAAAAAAGTTAGTACAGGTGAAAGTTTGAGAGAGACTTTGAAGGTGCACTCTTAAAGCATTGCCATAAGTATTAATTATCATTTTTGTGCCAGTCTCCATTTAGCACTGAAGGGTTTGAAATTAAAAATTGCTCACATGCAGCCCTGGACAAAAGCTTGAAAACTGAGGGCAAGTTCAAGCCTTACCATCCCGTGTCTGTCAGCAGGACCAGCATCAGCTACTTGTAATATCCATGGCACAGAAAAAGTCCATTTCCAGCCTCCTCTACAGTACTTGTTTCCAGGGCTGAAGAGTTCTAAATTGGTTCCCTTACCACTGCCCTTGTTCAATTGTCAGGTCTCTCTTCTTCTTCCAGCCTTAATCTCTGCAGAAGATTAAGGACAAGTAACCCCAAAACAATGCAGACTGAAATCTGGGCTTTATCCAAACTGAAATATGAATAAACCCAAAAGCCATCTCGTCCATATTTTTGGTTACTGAGTTGAAGGGTAACATCCCCAGGAGATTCTGCAAGGACCTTGCCTACATTATCAGTACAAACCACACAAATAAACATTTGTCTCTTGGAAATAAAGCCATGAACCCCTAAAAAAAGGTGAATTTCCTTTATTATCACGTCTCTGTACATATCTTATGGCGGAACATTAAAATTCTGTGTGAAGCAGTTTAAGCACCTGTGTGAACAGAGGCAGAGGAGGGCACTGCTGAAGGCACAGCTCACCTAAACCCACTGCAATTTATGGTGATCAAAGCAGAAAGTCAGGATTGCTGAACGTGAAATCATTGCTGGAGCCTACCTGTATAAAGTATCTTTTTAAAAAAGACAGAGGTAGGTAATGAAAGCTTCGAACAACCTTTAAGGACCTGCATCTTCTGGATTCCCTACCTGTGTCATGAAGAGGAAATTTCCCATATATGGCCCAAGCCGACAAGCAGAGCAGGGTCACACTGCAGTTCATGGTATTTGGCAAGCCCCAGCATTCAGACATCATGAGTCAGTGCTCCAGAAATCATTGGGTTTTATAAACCAATAAATCTATTGCATTTTGTTGGTTTGTTGGGTTTTTTTTTTTTTTAACGTGCCTTGGGTTTGTTGGGGTTTGTTTCTCAACACAGGCATCATCACATTTTGATTTTGCTTCTCTGTAACTGGGAGGAGCACTTTTTTCCATTCTGGGTTTGTTTGCTTTGTAAAATGACAGACAAGATTTTCATACTAGACTAAATCCTGGCATTGGAGCATTAAGAAAAAAAAAACATACCAACTATCATGGAAGCTGGGAA